AAAATCACTTTGTGATCAGGTGGGTTGGGGCGTTCTAGCAATCCTACCTTATTGCTATATTATACAAAAAAAAAAAAAAAAAAAAAACGCAAGGGTATCGATGAAAGAAATCGTTCTTTTTTAAAAGGATCGATGCAACAAAAAGGTGAGGAACCCCCTTTCCTAATAAAATAATGCCGAAATCGCTTACTACATTTTATTTGCATAATGCATCAAAGAGCACAAAGCCTTCAAGCGTTTAAGAAGGATTAATAGTTCTTTCCTGACCTTTCACATTTTAAACAAAGAATTCTTTTAGGCGGGAATGAACCTTTGTTCAGCATTTTATAATTTTTCCTGCATACTTTTAGGAATTAAAAACAAAAATGTTGTTTTATTTCAACAGTTACTTTTTGAAACCTTAAATACAACTGAAAGAGAGGAATTTTTCATCAAATTATTTAAGATTTTCATACAGATAATTTGTTTCTGTTAACAAAAACGTTTAAACATGTGGTGTTTTTCCATCCCTCGATCTTGGGGTATTTCCGCCATGCCATAAAAGATTAAATCAAAACACGTTAAGGGAAAAGTAGCAGTTTTCTTTATACCAAAATTACTGTCCCATAATTCATTTATAATTTCGTAACCATCTTTTTCTTTCAAGGATATGATTATTATCGTTGTAGATGTAAGTCTGCGAACTAAAGTTCTCAAAGTAGTTAAATTTCCATAAAATATATTTTAAAATATTATTTATTGATCTTTATGTTCTCAAGGAATTGATTATTGTATTCATTTCCACTAACATATATGCGGAGTGTCGTTTGTTATGTATTATTTAATACACGTTCTGCCGTTAATCACGACACGGCAAGGGAGGGATGCCATATGGAGGACTTTTTATGTGAAACTTGCAAGTAAACTCTTTACGCATGGGGAAAACCATGAAAACACCCATGCAACCCTCCGTTCACATGGATTCGAACTAAGACCTAACTACCAGAGTTCATTGATTTAACTGGTGAGTAATCATTTCGTTTCTGTTCGTTTAATATATTAAAAGCAAATATTTCTTTTCGTTTTTAAGCCAAAATGAAGTAGACAAAGAAGTAACTAACCATTAATATATCGGGAAAAATTATTACTTCACACACGCAGTAGTTTTGAGCATTTTTAATTCACTAAACGAACCTGACAAATCATACTAAATTAAGCTAAAAACTTGAAATAACGCTGTAGGAAAGAATGGTGTACAAATCTAAATAGAAAAGAAATATCATATGCCCTAGAGTTTGACTATTATGCTAATTTTTTCTGTCAAGCTTTCCCGTAAATTTTCTGGAAACTTTTCTAGGGACCTCAGAGAACCTAGATATAAATGAAATAATGTACGAAACCTATTTTATACTCTTAAATAACAAACTAGTAAATAATTACTAAGTAGGAAAAAAACAATACTATTATCTTTTCTATAATTAATATGAATTTTTATGCAAAATAATAGCCAAATGCTATAAATATTAAAAGTAAAAAGGGAGCCCCTATTTTTAAAATTTTAGTAATCAAAAACGATATAATGTTACGAAATGTTCAGGCACGGTAAGATGGCTTCCCCGCGAGGCAGTTTTAGGGTTGCCATAAAATGGTAAGGAAAGGCAGGGTTGCCACATTTGGCGAAAAATCGCCCATTTGGCGACAAAAATGGCGATATGCCATGGACGGATGGAGAACCTTCTGAAACGAATTCTTACCGGTTTAAATCAGAATGTTCTCGAACACAAGCCGAAAGCTATATAAACCCTGCTGGTCCGCAGTCAGTTAGTGTGTGCCTCGTCTAGAGAGTGAGATAGTGTGTCTCATCTAGTTAGTCCGTGCGGAGACAATCGAGTTGACAGCCGGCCAGCGAGTGCCGAGTGCATCGAAGAGTCTCTTAGTGTATCACGGTTAGTGCATCGTCGAGAGAGTGTGTTAAGCTCCGGGAACGACTGAACCGAAGAGTCGGGAGCTGTGCTCTGTGTGTCGTCGAGTGCATCGCGAGTTGTAGCGTGGAGAGTCTCAAGAGTACGTGAAGTTCCGAGAACGACCGAGCAGAGTCGGTAGCTGTACTCTGGTGCTTGCAGTGAACCTGTTTCCACCGTGATAACCTGAAGGCCGTGTCGCTGATTGGTCCAGCGTGTTTATAACAGAGGTTAAGTTAAATCTTGTTCTAAGTAACAAAGTCTATGCAAGTGATTTTTTTCCCAAGTTTCTATTTATTTTCATAGTAATATGGACGAACAACGTCTCCTATATTTCTAAAACGTATCGGGCTAGTTAAACTCGCCCTTAGCAGAATGTTTCCAAAAATCTAGGCTCTTACACTACTTTACTTTATGAATATATCATATCCTTACCTTGGCTCGTGTTGCCAATACTCCGAACGTAAGAACTTAACTTTAGCTTACTTTCTTTGTGGCTTTCTGCTTAATCAGCTCTCAGAATGCTGCCTTTTGCCAAATTTAAGACGTTAAATTTATCTTTCGAATTAATCTATCTGATTAAAAACTATTTTGTGAAAGCAATAAATGAATTTTTTATTATAAATTAAAATACACGCAGCATTATTTTAGTTATTAAATAACCTTGTTAAAGAATACTACTTTAAATTCACGCATAGTTAAGTGAATTAGAGCTGAAGTCACTCAAAAAATCCTTTTTTCACGTGAGTAAGCACGTGAATGTAAAATCACACAACAGAAGCATCCATCTGAAAAGTCACACTTGACTGCAGGCGATGCCAAGGGTGTTCGTAAGTTAAAAATAATGCGCGTCTTAATTTAAGCTGTTTCACGTACCATTTAAGCAGATACGAAAAATAAAGATGTGGCTCTGTTTAATGGTTTTGACGCACTTTTTTTTATTCCTAACTTGGCCTCGTTTAATGGGAAAATCACTTAGTAAACTACCGGCAATTGCGGATTTCAATTTCGTTCGCCTTGGGTGATTATGACTCCCAATCTTTTTAATGTATTCAGCTACTATCATAGCACGCTGATTCAAATTGAGATTAATAGTTCACTTGGGTATAAAGTTTTAAACGAATTCGCAGAAGTAATCTGGAACTCTAGTCTATATACAATTAAAAAAAGTCTGTTGTATTGCGTTATGCTATTATCCTCATGTTTCAATTAATGCTAAGAAGAAAATTACTATTTAAAAAAAAAAAAACATTACGTCCAAAGGGACGTTTTTTTAACATTTTGTGTGTTACCTTTATTTATTAAATATCATATTCTTCGCATTTAAACCATAAAATTCAGTTCAACAGCAATATCGCAAGATAGTTTAAAAAAAAAAAAATCTTTAGAATTTCCGATACAGAGTCTGCCGCGCTGGAGATAAAAATGTTTTTTTTTTTTCCCGTACAGTGTTGCCATCGCTCGCTTTGAAATCGTTTAGTTTGTTAATCAAAAATTCGTTGAAGTGTTAAAAAATATGAAATTGATAATAAAACAAATTTCAAATTCAAAAAAGAGATTTCACATGCCCACATTCTATGGAAAATGACGTTATTCAAATTTTGAAGGCTCTAGGTATAGTTATTTTACCACAATGCGAGAAACATACATACATTCATGCAGATTCTTCATTAGTTAATTTCTTTAAATATATTACAAGGCTATAATATTTGGCGGCAACAATTTGAAAAGTGAAGCAACGCTTATCGTGAATCGACGCAAAATGCCAAAACGGAATTAATAGTTCTTCTGGGCAAATTGCGTCTTTGAACTAAAAATACCATACCTGTTGGCAAAATTCAGCTTGTATCATATCGTTGCAATAAAGAAAGTGACATATATGTCTTGTTGGACAACCTTGTTTCTTTCACATCTTTCATGAGTTCTGTCTGTAAATCAGATACTGCTAACTTCAGCGAAATAAAAAGAATAACTTATAGGTGATGATAAAAAAACTAGAATTTTTTAATGCTTCTTGTAAAACAAAACAAAACCAAAATGAATTTAAGCGCAAACGGAATTAATAGCTCTTTTGGGCAAATTGCCCCTTTGGGCTCAAAAATCTGAAAGCCTTGAGATTTTATATTACGCTCAAAGGGACTTTTTTTTAACGTTTTGTGTGTTACCTTTTCGCCCTTATTCATTTCAACGGCAATATCGCAAAATAGTTAAAAAAGCATACCTTTAGAATTTCCGATACACAGTCTCGCGAGTTGGAGATAGAAATATTTTTCTCCAGTAAAGTGTTGCCATTGCTCGCTTTGAAACTGTTAAGTTTCTTAATCAAAAAACTCATAAATGATTTACAAAATATGATATAGATAATATAACAAATTCTAAATTCGGACTTTCAGATGCACGCTTTCGGGTGGAGACGTACGTTATTCACAATTGGATGACTCTAGGTACCGTTGTTTTATCACAATGCGAGAAACATACATGCGTACGTGTTCGTAATGGTTCGAACGCACAAGTCGATAAAAAGTTAATAAAATTTTTTCTTATCCAAGAAATAAAACAAAATGCTGAAGTTTCCTCAGCGATATTCGTACAATATTGCAATATCTCACAGTAGTTATATTTTAAACTGCTAAATAAATAGAACTCAATTCAAAAGCGTAAGAGAAAGCTAATCCGATCCCACAGCAAATTCGCTACAGTCAGCAACAGCACTAAGTAAACAACTAATAATCAACTGAATTGAGATGTTTTAATCCGGCTTTTAAAAGCTTTTTATTCCTGCACGAGAACATTCTGGTATTTTCTCTATTTCTCTGAATAGCAAAAGAATACAAGTACGAGATATTTATTTATTAATATGTTAAATGCGCGTGCGCCTGCATTTCAAATTTTCTGGTGAAGCTTTCTCCTCAAATAAGTCTCGTGCTGCATTGCACGGGAATATTGAATATAGAAACAATTGTAATTACAAATTCTATTAAAAATAGCAAACTAAATACAGAAACCGTAACAATACATTAATGGAGATTCTTTATTATTAAACTTCTTTAAGTAATACAGGGCTCTAATATTTGGTGGCAACAATTCAGAAAATGATTCGCCGTTTACAGTGAATGAATGCTGAAACGAAATTAGTAGCCCTTCTGGGCTAACGCTCTTTGGGCTAAAAATTTACGTATTTTTCAGTGATACCATACACGTCTTAGCAAATTTAACAGTTTATTGCAATTACACAGAAATCCAATATAACAATCAAATTACAATACAGAAATCAATTAGGTTGTATGAATCTGTTTAAAAAACAACAATTATTTTACAAACAATTAGACTAAACTAATGGATATTTGTACTATAATTCAGTATGTTAAGTAAGTTGCTTAGTTAACACTAAGAAAGCATCTTTTATTATCCTTTATGAAAATAAAAAATGCTTGAATTAAACCTGAATTGAAGAACTTTCAATAAAACAGAATTCCACTAGAATAAAAATAAACCGTTCTTTACAAAATATTTGCTAGGACTTCGGACTTGCTAGTACTTGTGTAAAATGCTGACGTGATATTAATCCAATAATATTTATAATTTTATCTAAAACAAGATTATGAGCTTAAGTATTGATATTTCTTATTGCTCGGTATCGACATTTCTTCTAGATGTTTGCTGTATGGGCGGTATGCTGTATGGATAATACTTTTAAAAAACAACGATTGGTTAAATAGCAATAGCGATGAGGTATTGAAGGTGATTTGTGGGTTTGTATTGCAATTCATAAAATACTTGTCTCCTGCTCCCGATGATTTGGCTGTACTTAAAATGCCAATTAAGTATGTTTGTAAGTAATATTGTAAACATAGTGCAATTTTCTCGTACAGCTGGAAATTTAGAACGATTGTTTTATTCCATATCCAAATGTGACCTGAAAATGCAATATTCCGGAAAATGACAATGCAGTAAGAGTAACACATGAAATAACGCGTCTTTAAGCAACAGATAACACTGAAAGTGTAATGTAAATTTAATACTAAAAGTGCAATTTTAATACTAAAAATATAACTTTAGTATTTTTGGACAATAAAAATGTAAAATAATTTCAACACTAAAAATAAAATTTAGAAAAACTCCGAAAGGTTCCAGACTCTAACTGTCGCCCAAAGGGGTTTGTTAAGGTTTTTCACGATCTCGCTGAGCTTGCAGGCTACCAATCTGCTATTCCACTCACTCCCATTAACCATTTTAGCTTTATTTAATAAGAATCGTTTTCTTCGCATTTGAGCCATATACAATTCACCAGCAAAATCGCAATAATTTTAAAAGATGTGTAGCAGCATATGTTTAAAATTCCCGATGCAATGGAAAGTATTGGGATTAGTTTTTAAAAATTTTGCTTCAGTTTTTCTTAGTTCATCATATCAATGTTCAATTTCCTTAGTACAATGATTTAAAAAACTTTTTGTTGTGTTTTTATTATTAACATTTTGTGTATTTACTTACCATCTATCTCGTTCTTCGCACTTAGGTGACATAAAATTCAATTCAAGAGAAAAATCATCAAATACTTAAAAACAGCATATCTTTAGAATTTCCGATAGACAGTCTCTCACGCTGGAGATCAAAATGTTTTATTTCTACAGTGTTGTCACTGCTCGCTTTCATATCCCTGAGTTTGTTAATCAAAAATCCATTAAAGGATTACAAAATATGAAATAAATAATCAAGAAATATATAACATCTTTGCATGAAAATAATGAGTATTTTTCATTAGAGAGATCATGAATTCATTGTATTTTTATTATTTAAATTAATCCTATTAAAAAGTAATAAACGAATATTCTTAAGAACTGCCTCCGTTGTTTTCAAGTATCTTAGTTTTTTAATCCACAACAAACTGATTCAATTTGAAAGATAAATATGCTGCGTTTTGCTTAAGGGCAATAGACTCGAATGAAAAGTGAAATGACGTATTTCGAGTGATTTGACGCAAAATCCTATTTCGAGACTAATAACCCTTTGGGTAAAAATGTATGTTGAAATTGCATTGTACTGCAGTGTTGGTGTGTTACAACTCAACAACTCTGCAGTTAAGATTTAGGGAACAATGAATATGGGAAATAAAAATATTTCAAGATTCAGGATACATCATTGCTGAATATTAAACAGCAGCAGGTTCTACTCTATTACAGTAAGACTATATACAGAATCAAATTGTCTATAGCTCCAAGAAATACTAGATGATGACATGTTTGGTTTAAAGTACAGTGGTTTCACTTGCTGAGTGTTACTAAGTGACTCGTTCCCCCCCCCCCGTTTTTCCTTCAACAACGCTTAAAACGAATTGGCGTACATTAAGACCCATATCGTTGAAATTAATAAGGAAATAAACGTAGAGCAGCTGCTATGCGCTGAGGATAACGTGGTTATGTAGTCGCTACGTGCTGAGGTGAATGAGGTAGAGCGTGGTCCACGCACTGCTTGAATAACATTTGCATCGATAACAGACTTGAAACGATCTCGCCAGAACTCGCATCTGTACTTGTCTGGTCTGAGACGTACACTTTCCTCAACATCGATGTCTAAGTATTCTGGTTGTTGAAGCGTGAACTGTGGCCATCGTAGCGTTCCAGGAATGTTTGGATTGCTGAAAGAAACAAAATACTATCTCAGTGGCAATAATTTCAAGCAAACCATGGGAACGATACAAAATAAAATCAATGATTTGAGTTTCTTGTGCACGTTCTGCTCAATTCTAATTTAATAACCGTTATTAAATCTGCTCATTTAGCCATTCTCACTCGATAATCCTTTTCTTAATATATATGGCTATTGATTCCTGGATGGTTCTGACCCATAGCTTTTAGCGTTAGATTAAAATGCATTCTATCTTTAAAAAAATCTTTTAACTTAGTAGCAAAATTATAAACTACTAAACACTAGTAATTTCCATTTCAAGTTCAATTTTGGTGAATTTATGGACTGAATGTGCATATTCTTGAACTAGTGTCAATGTAATTGGGATACATAAGAGGAATGTTAACTGATTTATTGTTGGTGTTAATTTTTACATAAAATATTATTAAAAGTTATGTAGCGAAGTTATGTAATTTAACACATTTGTTGCCGCCTTTCTATTTAATATTTTAAACATAAACTAAAATATGCAGTACTGCCAAAGTGTAAAAGATAACTTGAAGGAAAAAGAATGTTTAAACAACCGTTGAGTAGTTCGCGACATCATTCAAACTCTCTTGGGGGGGGTTAATCTATGAAAAAGCGCAGAAATAAAACAAAAAAAAAAGGTTTAATATGTTATTTAGAAAGGCGTTTTGTTGTGCTAATAATTTAGAACCGAACTGTTTAGTTTTACTTTCTATTAAACTACTGTTTTTACTTCCTTGTACGAAGTAAAACTGAAGTATTGTAATCGCGAAAAGCTTCAGGCAGCATATTTCAACGAAAATATCCACTTCGACCGCTTTCGAATGCAATTTAACGATGTTTTTGCGTGAAATCTATACGTAAGGACAGAATAAAAGACTCTTTTCCTCCAAAAAAACTAAAAAACTGTTTTAAAATGAATTCTGAAGAGAATTTTTCGTGGCGTCTGTACGAACGTATATACGTACCTACGTACGTGCGTGCGTACGTACGTACGTATCTCGCATAACTCAAAAACGAGTAGCCTCAGAACGTTGAAATTTTGTATATAAGACTACTATAACATGTAAATGTGCACCTCGTATTTTGGTTTCAATCGGCCGCGCCAAACGTATATAAATATATTTATAAATATATCCACTCTGTTACCCGGCTCAGTGATCTCAGTTTCTTTACTCTTATATGTTTGTAAATTGTACATTTTTTGCTTTAAAAATGATTGAATTATGTTGTTCTTATCTTCCGGTTAAGGTTTTTATGACTTTATGCAGTATTTTTAGAATTATCAACAATTTAAAAGCTGTTTAAGTGCGATTAAGTTTTAAATAACATGGCGGACATATTTGTTTACATTTGAAACAGCAGAATTGTAGATTTGTTGCCAATCTAGAGAGACTAAGCTTCGCAGCACAAAAATAACGCCTTCATTTATTATTGCGAATTAAATCATGCTTAATCCTTTCTGGAATTTTTTCGAGGAAATAAGTATTTAAAGATTTACTTCGTAATTTTTAATACAGATATTTTGAGTTTTTTATATATTTTTGCCTTGTCGCGAAGTGAGAACTGAATTAATTGAATGAGAACTACACAATCGTCTGTGAAAAACCTGTTTCTTTTTGTTTTTGTTTGCTTAATTTCTTTTATACAAGTTCTAGCTTTATTATAGTATTTGAATAGAACATGTGGCAACGATTAGATAATTCTTTAAATGATATACATTTTGTGCATTCTGAGTTATAACGAAATATAATACTGTAAGTAAACCTAGCGCCAGACTGTCGCTATGGTAAACAAAGTGAATTTTAAAGAATGAATTTATTCTATTGTGGTTTATGCGCTGTCGGCGAAGTAGGTTTAATTCAATCTAATAAATTAAATGAAATGCAAGAAAAAATGCGTATAATTTAATATGCCGTATAAGGAAGTCATGTGGTGTACACATCAGAATTTTTGATATTCTAGCTGTTAATTATTTCTGAAACATGAAAGTGTTATTTCAAATTACTTTTTGCAAATTGTCGCTAGAGATGAATGAGATATTAAACAACGGCACCGTTTTCTAGCTTTAAGAGTATTTCATGTTTTCTATGGATTGCAACAATGCTAAATTTTCGGTAGAAAGACCTCAAATGTGGGAAGAAAGAAGTATATTTAGAGAATCTTTGGTGTTTACTAAAGCCGAGAAACATGGAGAATCTAGGTTGTCAATTTTAGCTCTCAACATTCCAATTTCTATCCAGTTATATCACGAAGGCTCGCATTAAGCAAGGAGAGAACACTTTATATGCTCTTTCCTTATCATTGTTTAGAAACTAATTAGAAACATATCAGAAATAATAATAAGTAAATACAGTTTATGGTTTCACGTGAGTGTTTATGTAGATTACAATATTAAGCTGTATATTCGCAAGAACAACACGAGCTTCAGAAGAAAACCAAACTCATCAAACTATAAGCGGAACAAGATTTAAGAGAATTCGACATACTGTAATTACATTGGCTTTCAAATTAAGGAACGCATACGAGTTTTTCAAGTTCATTGTTTGAATGATTAAGCAAGAAAATATTTTTACGGGTTTTGTATATATGTAAATAATTTCAGTTAAATTATATGTGAAATTACTTTTTGTATAACGTAACATAAAAAATCGGAAGAGACGAAGCTCTGCCGGAAAAGTATGATTACTGGGGCAAGTTTATTTAACACTGATGTAAATGGCTCCTTCGCTAAATATTGGCGAGATATCACCAAGCTGGCAATGGTTTTGGCGAAACATCGCCAAATGTTGCGACACTTGGCGACCACTTGGCGATGTTTGGTAATAATATAACTGTTATTGTAACTGAATAACTATAATTGATGCTTATGTGTAATTTGTAACTGTATCCGGCTCGCACATGCCTTCCAGTAATTTCGAGAAATGGAAGGTAAAATAGATTTCTCAGTAGCAATATAAGCCCGGAAAGAGCCTGGGTTTTCAGTTCAGAGTCGACTTCGGAGTATTGAGATATCTCCGGGTGAGCTTCGCTCTTTAAATGCGCTTTACTCTGCATGTGTAAAACGTTCTGAGTACTTTGAAGTGGGACTCCTGAGTGTGCTCTGTGATACTCAGAAGAGCTGTACGTGTGCTTTTGTGCAAAGTTCCAGAATAGTAAATTGTTTCTATTAGTAAAAATAAATTTTATCAAACTATCATCGGTTCTGCGTGCATTCAATTCATTACGAACCCGTAAGCACGGAACAATATTTTCAAACGGTAAAAAAATAAATTCATATGTCCATGTAAATTAATAAGAAATTTGCAACATATACAAGAAATTATAAGAATATACAATGAAGGAGTTCTAGGTGTCTAAACAGTCCCCAAATACTCCGCCATTAAAAATAAACGGTTAGTGGACGCCAGAATAATGAAGATATATAATAGCTTGATCGGCCCTGTTATTTAAACCGGTTGTTGTTATCTTGTCCATGAGTATGTATTATGGCCAATGAAAAGTATTATGAACTATGTAAGCATGTATTATGTAACAGGCTCAATGTGTTATGAACTATGTAAGTATGTATTATGCAACAGGCTCAATGTGTTATGAACTATGTAAGCATGTATTATGTAACAGGCCCAATGTGTTATGAACTATGGCATATTAAGCATGTACTATGAACTATGTAACTATGTAAGCATATATTATGAACTATGTAACTATGTAAGCATATATTATGAACTATGCAAGCATATAGTATTATGATATAGGAACAATATATGCCTTTATGGGGCCCATGAGGTGTTGCCCCGGATAGTTGAGGAGCCTGGACTAGACCCGAATAGTCTAAGTAAGCTGCACGGGTGCTCAGACTCTGCTCTCAACTGTCAACTGTCTTGTCCATGAATGTCATGGATGAATGGTACCAGAACTTCAAGGAGGTTGGACTTTTACTTCCACTCCAGTTTTCACGAAGAGCACCCCGCGGGGTGGTCGTGGATCTCCTACCATCAAACCACACGACAGAACTTTCGGCTCACCATATATTTAGAGTGCCCCCATGCCGCAAAGGCACTATGGATTTATACACATGCATGCCTTCTTCGAGATTCGAACCCGGGCCCATTGGTACGTCATTAGCTTCCCCTAACCATTATACCGTCTGGGCGGCATTTCAGCCGGGTGAAATCAGCATTTGGTTTTACTTGATCTGTTATATCTATGTGTCTACACAAGATCCAACAAAACACAAATAGTTAAAACCTATTCATTTGTCCCCACATTATTCTAACTATATTTGAGTCATTACGAGAATATTATCCTTTATAATACGTAGTTTTAAGGCAGATAGGCCTCAAGGCTTTGCCATAGTTACATAAACCAAACCAAACGAAACCATACGTGCCACCAGTCACTTTCCTGCTGCTGCTAACATGTACTGGCAAACTCCACAGCTAAAACATCTGCTCAGTTTGATATTTTAATAATTAACAAGCAGAAAAATAGTGTAAATTTTTAATTAATTATGAATAATGTTTCGAATTACTCTTCTTTGCTTAAAAGCATTGTTAAAATCTGTACTTCTTGATATTACGGGAATACCATTTGTACAGTAAGATTTCAATAAATGAGTGATATGATAATTTTCCCTAAACTCTGTTAGAGAGAGCAGGACAAATTTGTAGCATATGAAAGACATCCCCCAATCATAATTCGACTAATAAGAGTACATTTAGTATCAGTAAAAGAATTGGCAAGCTATCGCCAAGTTGCTGATGGTTTCGGGGACTAATTTTTTTTCTCTACATTTAGTGAGAAATTACCAAACTCTGCGATCATTTGCAGACATTTTTTTGGTCTCTGCTTAACTAATTCATATTGTAATTGAATAACGGTAATGGATCCGTGTATGCAACTGTAACCGAATCCCACCCTTACTTAACTTACACTGCATATGCCTTCGAGTAATTTTTAAGAATGGAAAGTACTAGAGGT